ACGCTGATAGCAAACGTGGGAACAGTTTTTTTAACTGCCCGAAAGCACATCTGATAGTTTAACTTGATTTATATCCATGGCTGATGCTCTGGCACAGTGCGTGGAACCTCCTACGTTATCTTGTACCATAACTCCGAAATCCCTTTCTTTAGTAGCATGCGGTAGTATTTGGTTCCCCAGAACATAGGAGAAACGAGTCTTTTGCCGCATGGAAATAACTCTGCATTTGGAAACGTTGAATTCGATGTCATTGGTGATTGACCATCGGCGGGCTGCATTCATCGTTTGTTGGAGTGCTATATAATCGTCTCGATGTGTTACAGTTCTCCAGATCTTAGCTTCGTCCGCAAATAGTAGTGTATTAGGCCCAAGGATATGTGGCAGGTCGTTTATAAATGCAAGAAAGAGACGAGGCCCCAGTACGGATCCTTGAGGAGCCCCCCGGGCAGCGGTGATAGGCTCAGATAATGAATCACCAACACGAACTGACATGATTCTTTGTCGGAAAAAATTGCTTGATCCAGTTCAGAACCAAACCTCTTACTCCGTATTTTTAGAGTTTTCGCAGTAGAATTCGGTGGTTTACTAGACCAAATGCTTTGGAGAAGTTTAAATAAACTATATCCAATGATTGGCCTGCATCGGCGGATTTTGTCCACTCATCTTGTGCAAGAAGTAAATATGTGGTGCACGAACGCTTGTGCTGAAATCCGTGCTGAGATGGAGACAAAATCTCATGCTTCTCCAGATACTCCATCAATAGGTCTGCCACAATGGCTTCAGATCCAGACGAGCTGTCCCCATCGGTTTTTAAAGATGGAGGTCCAACCTTGGTTTTGGAATTAACGAATCTCTTGAGCCCAGCGTGAGAGAAGGAAGACGTTCCAACTGAATGGTGTGAATCGGTCATCACACCGAATCGCGTAAAAGGCGACAGGTCTTCCTGTGAAAACCACAGAGGAATTAGATTAATGATCATCCTCTCTGAACCTCTCGCTGATATTATACGCCGTCGATTGTTTGCCGCACGTGAACGGTGCACGCGTGAGATCCAGGCTGGTTTTAGACCTGGTCGAGGTTATATTGACCACATCATCACTCTTCACCAAACTCTAGAACACAAACACTCCTTTCTTAGACCTATCATTTTTTATCTTCCTCGATCTGTAAATTGTTCTCGACTCAGTCGACCGCTCAAAACTGTGGCGCTGTCTGTCTCTAATCTCTTTATGGTAACAAGCTTGGTTATAGTCACCAACTATAAGGTTCAAGCTGTCAGCAAGTGATGGTGCATTCACCGATAGAAAGTGATCATAAAATGTGTCAATGTCTGATAACCAACAATTGGCTGCAATGTATACCTTTGTGATGGCGGTAAAACGAAATCGAGAAAATTTGGTGACAGACGACAGTTGAAAAATCGATCCCATTTCGGCAATACTTGAAGAGCATTTCGGACTTGCCTCACCGCTTGTTATTGATGTAGGTAATCATATCCCGCGTCATCTTCCCCCTACATCTTTATCTATCCTATCTGGAGCAAACGAAATTATCCAGTTGGACCACGGAATTTCCCACATCATCATTGAGTCGTGACTCCGAGCGACACCAGACACAAGATTTGGGAAATTCGTTTCGTTTTAGCAGGTAGGATAAATGCGGAAACTTTCCAAACAAAGAACGAATTTTGTTACTCACAATTGTAGGTACAGTCCGCTTGCTGGGATTATTGCTACCGAGGGAGGTTGGCCAACCGGCACGAATGCGTTTTTTTGCGTATGGAGTATTTGTGTGGTTGTCTAGTCTCTGGAACGCCGAACATTCCAGCAAGATTTTTCATCACAACATCCCTAATTTTTAATACGAATTCTTTTGTGTATATGGGTAAAGCACGCATGTTGAGCAGTTTGATCGATAATTTCGAGAACGCAACGGTGGTGAGAAATTGTAGCGCAGCCTTTCAATGATGTGTGAGATGCTTCCGTTCATTTGGTATCAACTTATTTGTGATTTCCATATGTTAGTCATCTTGTGGCACACAGTTTGCACTTGGGTTAACCTTAAACTACACTTATTACTAGTCGTATTTTGCTTGAATAGTGTTGTGTCGCGCGCATACATGGAAACAACCTCGGAGCAGCAGCAAAACAAGCTGTTCTATCACCAGTCCAGTGTCTTTTCCTCGAACATAACTATTCTGTTTCAAGTTGCGTGGTTGGTTATTTGTAACCCGAATTTGACCATGTTTCTTCCATTCTTGGAATAAACAATTCATCAAGTCAGTACTTAACTTGTGCATTTGTACCATTGCGTTAGTTTAGAGCAGATTTCAGTTTTTCGGTCACATGCGTTTATCACCGAACTACTCCGGTGTCAAGTCTTATCCACGTTTTGCATGTCAGAATAAACACGCCTTCCAATCAATGAATGTGTATTAATTTGTGAGGATATTCCCTTCAGTGAGTACCGTCTGATCAAAATTATCTACTACTCTGCGTCATCTTGTTTCGCGCACACGCGTATTCATTCACTCGTCAGACTCCCGTTCATGCCTCTTTCTCATTTCACGCTGTTCTTTCAGGTTATGCTTTGCGGACTGCAAGAACTGAATGTAGACGACTGGGAAACGAACACAGTCTACAAACACTACACACCACGATCCCGGGAGATTCAGTGGTTCTGGCAGGTAAGCGGACCTGGTAGGGTTCAAATACAGCACCTTCGGTGATCACAACCGTTAGTCTATTCCCTTATCGATTAACTTTTCCCTACGGACTTCGGTTTCGCGTGACATTTAATCTCGTATCGGTTCCCGAAATTCGGTAGCATTGCGCCCGCCTTCACTACTGGCATCGCCATCCTCAGACTTCATTCATTACGCATGGCATTCTCGTTCCCTCCTCATTCATTTCCTGAACCCAACGTTCTGTGGTGTTAAATTCATCTCACCGCTATCCTTTAATCATCCTCCATTTTCTGTCTTCTTCCGCCTTCTCCAGTTTGTACGATCATTGGATAATGAGAAACGGGTTCGGTTGCTTCAGTTTGTCACTGGGACGTGTCGTATTCCGTTGGGTGGATTTAAAAACCTGATGGGTAAGTTTGACCCCTCCTCATACACATACGAACGCCATTGATCCACCTCCAATATTCTATCACTTCTAACTTACTTCATTTTATTCTAACGGATAAACTCTTCGGGAGACAAGAGATACCTGCATGATGCATCTCGTTCATCTCTAAAGTGGCACACCAACACAGAAAATTTAGAAATTAGATAGTGCCAAAATCCTATCTACAACCGTCTCGCTCTCATCGATAAAATGAGGTTCCGTGGAGCATTCCCCCGATTATCAGGTAGGCTCCTTAGCATTGAATATGAAAAGTTAGGGTCGAAAATTGGTGACGATTCAGGTCATACTACTTAGCCGGCATAGATTAGCAATATCCTTATATAATGTCACTTGTTTGGAGACCGTTTTGGCAGAAAACTGATTCTCATAACAAATTTATGTAAATAAACTTCACTGGTAGAAACACGTGTTATACGTGCTTGGCATTCTTCTGTTGCACCACGCTACGATCGCAACTGTTGCTCAAAGGTGAAGAAACCCAGTTGGAGGCCATCAGATGAGAGATTAGGTCTGGTGGATGGTTCTGGTGTTACCAGCTGAAACCCAGAAGTTCGTTCAAACTTAGGTCTAAATGCACAGGAAGGAAAACTAGGGAATCACTGAAAGTGGTTTTTATAGTACTTTTTAGTAGGTTTAACCGTTTAAAGAGACCTCTCACGGTCTATGTTGTGTCCACTCAAAATGCGATTCCATCAAAAGTACCCGTTTACTCCACATTTCACTTCCCGCATGTATTAGTTGTACAGATTACTTCATTCCAACCGATGGCTAACTGCTTGTCGAACATGATCTGACGCGCCATCTAAGGATAAGTCGGTTTGACGTAAGGGTCTCGAGCATATGGTTATCCACAGTAACTGTTTGACTCTTTTTTGGTTGCTGTTATTTGGCTACCCATTCGGATAAAGGTGTAGGAGAAAGGTGGCCTTTTTTCACCTACTACCTGTTTCGGCAAACATCGCTCGCCGTGGCAAACTTATTTGGTGCATGCGAAACACATGCCCTAACCAACGTAATCTGAGGTCGACCACTTGCTCCAGTGGGCGACCGCAGATTACGTTGGTTAGGGCATGTGTTTC